TAGCCTTAAGCACTTGATGGAGAAGAGAATTAACCTCTGTATTTAATCTCCATGCCTGTTTCGCAAGCATCGCCAAATTGAAGGCCTTCAAATCCCTGAAACCCATACTGCCCCTCTCCTTCCTTGTACACATCATTGACTAGCTAACCCAATGTATTTTCCTCTCCCCTTGTCTTTGACCCCACCAGAATCTGGCCGCTAGTCTCTCAAGTTCTTCACAAAAATTATCCGAAAGTTTAAACATCCCATGGCATACTTATGAATAGATTGCACCACCGCTTTAATTAAAATCTCCTTCCCTGCTCTCGATAAGAGTTGTTCACTCCACCCTTGCATTTTATTCCATATCATTTCCTTTAAATTGCTGAAGACTTCTTTCTTATATTTTCCCACCATAGTTGGAAGACCCAGGTTTTTTCATGTTGATAACCCGTTCTACCCCCAAAATATGCTGAACTATGCTAGCCTGCTCCTCCGAAGAATTACAGCTAAAGACCACTGCTGACTTTTCCAAATTGATTTTTTGCCTTGAAGCAGCTTCATAAATCCCTAATATTAACCTCACAGCTTCAGCCTCTTCTTTAGATGCATTAAAGAATAATAAACTGTCCTCAGCGAACAAAAGGTGTGAAATACGTGGACCACCCTTTCCCACCGAAACTCTTGTAATCGCACCATGCAACTCTACATTGTGTAAAAGTGCTGTCAAACCTTCTGCATAGATTAGAAACAAATAAGGTGATAGGGGATCTCCTTGATGGAGACCCCTTTCAGGATAGAAAAAACCCAATTGATCGTTGTTCAGCAAGACAGAATACGAGACAGTTGTAACACAAAGCATCACCAAAGTAATCCATTTACGATCAAAACCCAATTTAATCATCATCTTTTCCAAGAACACCCACTCCACCCTATCATAAGCTTTGCTCATATCCAGTTTTAATGAAACATGTCCTATTTTACCCCAATTCTTACACTTTGGGAAATGATTAATTTCAAACGCTACCAACACATTGTCGGTGATTAACCGCCCAGGAAGAAATGCACTTTGAGACTCATAAATAACCGATGGAAGTACATACTTTAGATGATTAGCTAAGATTTTTGAATTAATTTTATAAATGACATTACATAAACTAATAGGTCTAAACTCATGCATAGACTCTGTATTCTCACATTTAGGAATGAGGACAATGTGAGTATAGTTAAACTTAACTGGAAATTGACCACCATTTAGAAAGCTCAAGACACAGTTTACAACATCCGGCCCGACAATATGCTAGTACTTCTGAAAAAAAATAGGTGGCATTCCATCGGGACTAGGAGATTTAGTAGGAAATATTTGGGAAATTGCAATTGTTACCTCATCAATTCGGAACGTCTGCAAAAGCCTTGAATTCATTCCATCGGACACCTTGCGGTCCACCTTACTTGACACTTCCTCTAATTCTTGGGTTTGTGGTCTACTAGATGTAAACATATTCTTGAAATACCCCACAGCCACTTGTTCCATTTCATCCTAGTTTTCACACCAACCCCCATCTCCATTCTTGAGCTTTATAATTGTGTTTCTTCTTCGTCGTTGTGATGCCCAGGCATGGAAAAAAGTTGTGTTCTTATCCCCTTCCTTCATCCAAAGAACTTTTGATCTTTGACGCCAATAAGTCTCCTCCATATCAAGTAGATTATTCAATTCCTTTTCCACACTTTGAGCTTGTTGCCTAGAAATCTCTGTTATACCACTTTGCTTTATATTTACCAGCTTGCCTTTCAAACCTTCTATCTTAACTGGAATCTGACCAACCTGCACCTGTTTCCACTTAAGTAACTCCACTCTGCAGCTTTGAATTTTCTTTGAAAACCCATGAGCCCCAGAACTATGTACAATAGAATTCCAGGCCTCCTGAATAATCTCCTCACATCCTTCTCTCTTCACCCACGCCGCTTTGAATCGGAACAATCTTTTCTTTGGACACCACACTTGAGTCCTCAACCCCATGTTACTATCCAATAAGACTTTGTAGAGGTCTGACTCTTTCGAGAATTTGTGACAAACTCTCGAGTTAGGAAATTTTGTAATCCATGCCAGATATGCAGACACTCTGTCCAACCTTTCCTACACCGTATGTGGTTCCTTCCAATTGTTACACCAAGTGAAAGGGAATCCCACATACCCCAAATCCATCAATGCACAGTTGTCCAAAGCTTGACGGAAATCTCTCATATGCCATTCCGCCCTTCCTCCTCTCCCTTTCTTCTCATCTTGTGAAAGTATTTCGTTGAAATCCCCTGCATAGACCCACGACATATTATTTCTACTTCTCAGATGGGTTAACAAAGCCCAAGTATCCCTACGCTTCTAAATCTCTGATTCCCCGTAAATCCCCGTTAACCTCCATGATCTGCTATCACCCCCCACATTAACCACGACATCAATGTGTCCACCGGAGGGACTCTGCAACACCACATTTAGATCCTTCTGCCATAACAACGCTAAACCCCTTGAACTCCCATGCGCCTCTACTGCCACACCACACATGCCAAACATCACTTTCAAAACTTCAATTTTCCTAGTATTACACTTTGTCTACGACACGAAGACAAAATTGGGCCGCTCTTTCTTTACGAAATCACGCAAGTCTTGAACTGTCCGAGGATGCCCCAAGCCCTGGCAGTTCCAACTAAGAAGTTTCATGATGATCGGTGGGTCTGGAGACCAGATCCCACCGTTATCTCTTCCATTTGTTCCACAGATAAAACCCTTGGTTCAAAACTTACTTTAACTTTTTTCTTAGCATTCCCTCCCAAACCTGAAGTCCGATCCTTGTTACCTTCACCCTGCTTTCGTTTTCCATTTGGATTCATTTGGGAACTTGTTCGAAGTGGAGGAATAGTGCCCTTCTCCTTTCTTCTCCATTTTTTCGTACCTATCGATTCTTGAATGCAGGTAGTTTCGTTAATTCCTTCTGTTTCTCCCAATTTAGATAGATGTTTGAGCTGGCCCAGATAGGAAATGGGTGAGTCCATAAAATTTTCAATAGCCCATTGCTCCATCTTGTCACTTTCTGGAATATGCTAGTTACTCGACCCTCCTAAAACCCCGGCCACTCCATTCTCTAAACTAGGCCCTTATCAACAACCCAATTTCCTTTCAAACTATCACCCTTATCCAAAAAAATATCCCTCTCATTTGAACTGCCATTATGCACCGGGATTATGTAATCAATTTTCTGGAACCTTCCTTCCTCCAATATTTCCCTTTCCTTATTTTTCTCTTTCCATGTTCTGCCTCCCTCTAAGGCTCTCAATAATGGTAATTCCTTCATCTCCGATAATTTGTTCCTTCCTTCCCATGATACACTCCTCATTCACCGCCTTTCTACTTTTGTGGGATTTTCCTCAAGAAAAGTGAGCGTGTGTGTGTGTGTGCGTGCGTGCATGTGTGTTGGTGTTGGGTAGAGTTGGAGGTGGAGGTGAAGGTGAAGATGCACATGGTGTTGTGTAGTGTGCTCGTGTTGAGCTGATTGAATTTATTTTTGTTTTTTTATTTAATACAGATAGAATTTGTATCTCACAAAAAAAATAAAAAATAAAAAATAATGTATAAGATGGAGAGTGTGTAATTGTACCATCTTATTTCAGTTGATGCTGTCCATTAATTTAGTGCACTTGAAATTCAGAAGGGACAAATTGCAAAATTTAAAACCTCATGAAGTTGATTGTAATAAGTGGCATAACCATAAGGGACAAATTATAATTAACCCTTCAGCTTATTAGTGAGTTATAATAATCCCGACGTTGCCCTTGCACCCCACATTGATAAATTACATATCCGATTTGTCTTCTCTGTCTTATGTCATTTGAATCTCTGCTGACTTGATCCTTGTTGTTTGTCCTGCTACGTGTCACCCTTAGATCTTTTATTATTTGGGTGTAAATATGCAGTAACATAGTTCAATAATGTGATTGTGACTATAACCCTTAAACTTCTTCATTAGAACTCTATCACTTAACGCATTATTATATCAATAAATTAAATCATTTTAAAGGTCCTAATAACATTACTCAAAAAATTAACTTAATTTAGTGACACGAGTCCTAATAAAAAAGTTAAATGTTACAGCAAATTAAGTTTTTTGGTCAGTACTCCATCAATAAAGTCCGTCCGTAATTTTGTAATATTTAAGTTTTGTTAAAATATTTTTTCATAGATAGTATAATTAATTCAAATAATATGTGATATGTGATATATGATATAGTGGTAAGTTAAAATTTTATTATATTTCATGTTAGTACAATCAATGAAGAGAAAACAATTATAAATAATAACACTTAAAGCTAATATATCAGAGACTCAAATGATGTCTTATGTTGCTATTAACAGAATATACAAATTCTCAACAAACTCAAATTAAATCTAAAGAATTCTAACTTATCAAAAGATTATTGAATTTTAGAAAAATTAATAAATAAAATAATTTTCAAGCTACCCAAATTTGCTGGTAATAGTGTACTAAAAAAAGTGTTATATCACTAAATTAGTATCATATTAGTGTAGGGGTCCTATAAATACTATTGAACTTGAGGATCTTTCACTACCAATGTTTAGAGATCTTAAAAATTAATTTGGGTTTTATTGAACATGAGTATAGAAATTATTTGAGGCTTTAAAAATAAATTTTGGCTTAATTGAATTGTGTCTCAAATTTTTTTTGGAGAACTAAAAATAAAAGTGGACTTATTTGAATATGAATTTTAAAAATTTTATTGGGAGGAGAGGTGAATAAGTTTTTTGATTTTAGCCCAAATCAATTATAAAATAAAACATATGGATATCTCAATTCTCTCTTTTCAATCAAATGTGAAAATTATCGATGAGAACCCCTTTCAAATACCACCAACCCAATTAACTATGACAATTGATTTTAATTAATATGCAATTAATTTACTTTCAATCAATTTCACAGCAATCCCAAATTCCACAAACTCAATTTACACAACTATGGATGATATGATATCAAATAATAAAAACATTAAACACATAGTGTGCATGTGTGCTCGTAATTGCAAGTGTGTACAACAATCGATAATAGACAAACAATTTGGTGGTGCGAAAAACCCTCTTCGGGAAAAACTGCGGAGAACTATTCGGGGTTCACTAAAGCCTAATTCACTACATGTCAAGTCAACATTCAAATACTCGAGTCTTATAGCTCAACTAATACTCATGGTTAGATGCTATTTTCTTTGCTATATCTCTCCGCTGAAACTCCCTCTCTTAAGAATAAAATTAGACTTAATAGAACCTATGTCTACACGTTTTATTTGGGATACTAAAAGAAAAATTAGACTTAATTAAATATTAATCTAAAAATTTTATTTAAAATGTTAAAAATAACATTAAACTTAATCAAACCTCCTTAAAAATAGAGTCAAAAAGCGGAGTAAATATTGACTGTAATGATTACACCACATCATTATGTTGACATTATGTAATCATTCAATAATAAAATATTCATGTAAAATCCACTTCTTCATTTGTTATTTTATTATTAGATGATAACACTATATCAACATAATAACGTGATTGGTGTAATCATTTTTTTTTTGGAGAGAAAGGGGGAGAGTAGACTTGAATCTTTAATCTCAAAAATTCAAAACCTTCACAAGATAAAGAGACTAAAGATTCATTAGTTGATTGGTGTAACCGTTGCACCCAATATTTTTTCTTAAAGGGGGGCTTCAATAGCTCTAGCATTGAGCCAGCCCTGGCCAACTTCCAGAATACCCCGCATCCAAGACAAAATTGGATCTCAGTCTATTGGATCTCGACAAGTCAAACGCCCCCACCGGTGCCTACGAGTTAATATTGAATGCAATCATGTTATATCTTCCTCAATATCATCGATCAATAATAAAATTTTAAATGAGTAAGATAATTCACTTAAACTTATGTGGAAGGAATGTGAAGAATTATTTAATTATATGACAAGTTAGTTATTAATTTTTATAAATTTTTATTTTTTTATTTTAATATTATTAATTAGTGACACCAGATCACCTTTTGTCGGTTACTACTTCTTGACGCGAAAGCAATGGCAGAAACTCTGGCGGACGTGATAGAGTATCCCAAATCCTATGCCTTCTTCATTGACATGCCCGGATTGAAGAGTGGAGACATCAAGGTTCAGGTAGAGTATGACAACGTGTTGGTGATCAGTGGCGAGAGAAAGAGGGAGGAGAAGAAAGAAGGTGCCGTGTTTGTGAGGATGAAGAGGAGGATCGGCAAGTTCATGAGGAAGTTTGTGCTGCCTGAGACTGCTAACACTGACGCTATCTCTGCGGTTTGTCAGGATGGAGCGGTGACTGTAACCGTTGGGAAATTACCTCCTCCGGAGCCTAAGAAGACGAAGACCATTGAGGTGAAGATCGCTTGACGGTAGTATTCACAGATATGATCTCTGTTTTTGTTGCTGCTGTGTTATGATGGTGGTCAGCGGTAATAATGTGACATTTGATAAGTTGGATATTTTTTTGGGTGTATTTTTTCACTGTTGAATGGAAAATTTCTTGAGAGGGTCCTCTTAAGGTTTACGTGCAAAATTATTAAGTGAACTAAACCTTCCCTCTCCATGTTAACATAAACTCAAAATAAGAATTTTTTTTTTTTTTTTTTTTGAAAAAGCCTATCGCTAAGAGGCGCTCTCTGTTTTGACTCATAGTCTGTTGCTATCCCCAAACTCCTGACAAAAAATACAGAAGGTAATGGGGAAGACACAGGGAAGTAAAACAGTACACCATCGGTTTGTAACATAATTTTTTATTTGGACAGCAGATCTTTGTATCCAATTTTTTAAAAATTAAGAACAAAAATTAAGAATGTCAGAGAATAATAATAACATGGTTTCGCCACTTTTCAGAAACAATTTCCAAAAAAAAATTAAAAATACGGGATGTAATCTATTGTACACTTAAAGACATTATTTAAAAGTAAGTTTTTATTTTTATTTTTTATCTCTCATCCGTTTCTTTCGCTCCGCTTCCAAGTGTGTCCAATTGGTTCCTTCAAAATCCCCAATTTCATCCGAAGTTTTAGTTTTTCCATGTACTTTAGGTTTTCTCGCACAATTGGTTTTTCATAGTTTCTTGAGGTTTTCTTTCTTCTTAGATCTAACTCTATGCAAACTATAAATTGGAATCTATGTTGTCAACTTTATTTTGTCATTTTTAACAATAAGAAAAAAGATGATATCTTAGTTGCATGTTCAATTTTTTAATAGCTGAAATCAGTCAATGGATATTCAACAATTGTCTTGTATCCTAGAGTTTTCTTTTGTAAATTTCAAGTAATATAATATTATTTACACTAAAAAATAACAAAATCTGAAGATGACTGTAAACTCCCACATGTCTAAACTATTAACAATCGTTCAATTAGCTTCATTTTGTATTTGACGTCTCTATTTACATCTTAAATCAAAATATAAGAATAATAAGTATATTTAGGTTCCAAATAAGTATAAAAGACTAAATATTAAAAAAAAATATATATGATATTTTACATTCTCATCAATTAGCTAGCGTAGAGGAATTGAAGAAAAATGTTGTGGATATACTAGTTCTACTTCATGTTGTTATAAATGATTTTAGGAGACGGATGATAATTTGGTTTTGGTTAATGAATGATGCTAGACATGGATCTTTATAAAAGTGATACTATATATATTGGAGATGAGTATGAGATAGAATTTGTGACAAAAGACATTCAAACTCGAGTTAGACAAGTATAGAAGAACCAAGCAGTCCGACAGACTATCTTTCACCAATTTGATCATAACTCTTTATTGGAAAGTCCAAGTTGTGCACCCATTTATTTTTGTTAGAACCATAACTCGTATATCTTTCCAACCATATAGGTCACACATACTAGAAATACCTGAGTCAAATTAGTTTATTCTCCGAAATTGATCAAAAATCTACACTATGGTGTTCATTGGATGATAAAGTATTGTGCTTTCTTCTTAAACTTGGAAGGTATAAACTCTCACATGTTTATATTAATATAGTAATGTACTTATTTAGTGATTCTTATATATGTAATGACGTAAGAATAAACCAAATATATTGAAACCGTAAGAATAAATACTAGGAATAAATAAAATAGTAATTTTAATGTTTCGAATGTAAATTTATTTTAGTTTTGAAATAAATCATAAAAATAAATATTTTTAGATTAAAATAACATTAAAAATGAATCCGAAACGTTGAAAAACCTTAGGGTAGTCATATAGATCAAATTAGAGGTTTTTAGTGATAAAATCGTAATTTTGGAGAAAACAAAAACAGACTGTGAACAGTGTTTTTCGGGGTTGGCTGTGTTTAAAACACTGATTTTAGCCCTTTTACCCTCATTTCTTTCATTTCACTCTCACCCCCACACCTCTTGGAACCCTAGGAGAAGGTAAAAGAAAGGAAGGAAAGGAGAAAGGAGGTCTTTAGGGCTTGGGCTTTCACTTGAAAATTTTGATTCAAGGTAGGGGTTTCTCTCACTCTTGTTCATTGAGACTAGGGCTATATATGTTTTTGACTCTAACTCTTATATATGTGTTAGTAAATCTTTGATGTTTAATATTCTTGCAAATATTATCATGTTTAAACAAGGTTATGGTTGAATTGTCATGAAACCTCTATTTCTTGTTTTGAAAACCCTTGTTCTCATGAGAGATGAATTTTTCTCTCAATATTCATTTGTTCTTGATTTCTAAAACTCTAGTGCATTGTGTTGAGTAATAAATAATGTTGTTGTGACCTCTTGTATTTTTTCTTAATTGGTTATTGAAATTGTTATATGATAAATTTGAGAATTTTTGAGATATGCTTGTAAAATAAGAAATTGTGAATTTTGTATATTATTTAGAATTGTTGGTGAATTGAGAATATTTTGGTTTCCTCATTTGTATGGTTGTTGTGATGGACTTGGATTGCCATCGAAAGATGCCGTAGAGTGTTAGAGGTTAGTCTATTCCAGTAGAGGTGAGATGGTTTCCTAACACTTGTAGTGGATTGTCATTTGGTAATGCAACCACTATCGTTCACTAGAGTTCGAACAAGGGATGATATATTTTTTCTGGGAAGAGATTCGTCACTGTCATTGGGATGGTAGACGTCCTTTCCTAAAGTGTTTGTAATTGTGATTATGATTGGTGAACTAGGTATAATCGTTAGGTAGATTCATAAGAAGCAATTAACAAATAGGATAAGGGGATAAACCAAAATACATGGGATAATAGGTTGGATCGTCTTGCCAGTGCATTGGTATGGGACAATGCATCGGAAGACGCCCTTCCTAAATGGTTTAAAGTTGAAAATGATATATTGTTGTGAAATGTACTTTATCCTTTCACTTGATTATTGTTATGACTTAAACTTGAGATCTATTTAAAATGTCATGTTTTTCCTTCAAAATTGATATGTGTTATTTACAAAATGAGACTAACCTATTTTTATCTGTTTTTTTAAACCTTGTTTGAGTTTGAGAGGATTTTTCTTACAGAGCTTCGTGCTCATTTTCTACAGTTAAACATTTTACAGATTATGGGCCAGAGGAGGAGCTCGATGCTAACGAGTCAAGCCATAGAGAAGCTTTACTAAAGGGGTATTTGGATCCCGAGTGGGACATCTAGAAATGACGTTTATTTTTGTGCTAGATTAGGAACGATTATGTACAATCATGTAAAGTCTAGTATTTTGTTTATTTCACTGCTAAGTTCAAATGTAATTCTTTTGATGTAGTAGCCTAGTTGGGCTTATTCTTTTGGATAATGTTGTAAATATTTTGGGGATAAATGGACCCGGTGTGATCAATGTAGTATAATTGCACAGGTTATGTTTTGGGTAGAGCTCCCCGAACAAAGGAGATTCTGCCCAAATTTTATTAAATTAAGGACTTCCGGTTATTTATGGATTTTATTAGTTGTTCCCATGGTATGAATGATTTTAGAAGGTAATGCCTTTCAGGATGATTTTTGGGGTGTTACAATGACACATGAAAACAATCTAACCATTATGAAAGAGTACGTGAGAGCCCATACTTGATAAGACGGTTAAGGAAGTGGGACTCTAAGAATCCTAAGAAATGAAGAGATATGACATCATAAGCTTTCAGTTGGAGACGATCCAATACATATATGTATTTCTCGAGAAAAAAATGCCATGATTACAATCATGGTAAAAAAAAAAATTGCTTTAACAGTTGAAAGTCATCCCTATAAACAACAAAGACAAGACTACAAAGAAAAGATCTACGATCAAACACAATAAACTCTACACAAAGTCAACCTCCCCTCCTATTTGTTTTTATTTCCAAGCAACTTTACTTTTTCCAATAATTCATCATTTTGGGGATCTTTACTGCTTCCATTTAATGTTAAATACACTACTTTTGGCTTTCAAATTTGGTTAATCTATTGCTTTGCATTCTTTTTTTTTTTTTACATTCTAGTACATTACGTTATTAGTTGAAAAATTATTTAAATTCATTAAACCCAAAAATATAGAAAAGAACTCAGAAGTATACTAGCATTTAAAGTCCTTGAACTCGAAAGCATATAAAAGAATTCAAAAGTAGTCTTATGTCTCGTTACAATCGTCTTAATAGTCACAATTTTTGAACTTTACACCGATTCAAATAAATAAAATCATATATATTTAAATCATAAGTTAATCAAACTTTAACACACCCACAATTCAAAAATACACTAAACAAATATCCATTGATAGAAAAAACCGTAATAACACATTGAACCTCTCCTTTCACCGTGGGTGTTATTTTTTAGAAGATTCTTACCAAAGAATCTATTCAAACTATATCCCATATTTTTATTATTTATTTAATTAGTATTAAAATATATTTTACTGTTTTTTTTATATTTTAATTTTTTTATAAAATCATATATAACCAAATAAATACTAAAATTAAAAAAAAAAAAAATACACTTCTCTAAAACTATTCTTGAGAATAATTTTTTGAATACTTTTTCCGGAGAGGTATGCAAACAGGCCCTAAACCTCTCAATTTAAAATTACAAGCAGTTTTGTCGATTTTTGTCTTTCAAGTTTGAACCATTGAATCCATTGGATTCTAAAAAAAAGCTATAAAACTAAAAACTTAAAACCCAAATATACATATCTCTTGAATGGGCTTTGAGTAAATCCCACTAAAAATTCTACTAAAACCCACTAATCTCTCGATATTTATTTAAGTTCCAATTTTTTAGATTTATAACTTTGCTGTTCTAAAAGTCGGTGTTCATGACTTCATTTATAACTGGCAAGATCGATGAATATAACGTCAACTGAGCAAAAGAAAAGCACATTAAACTGAAGATTTATTTATCATTCCCCATATACACACAGGCTATTCTACAGTAGGCCCTGCCCAAAACCATAAGAACATTTACAAGCAAACACATAGTCCATGGACGCATACATATTTGCACAAAACAACTAAACTTAAACGGCAAGACGAGTAGTACCAACACCCGAAGCTCCTCCTAACAAGACTATCTGACATAAAACTCACCCCTTAGCCAGTCCTTACTTCCTGGCCTAGTGTCTGTGCTTCTTGAGCTTGTGCTTCGTCAGAGCCAGTCCTACCTTCCTGGCCCGGTGTTTCCTGACCCTGTGGCAGGTGCGAGCCGATCTTGACCTCAATGGTCTTCGGTTTCTTGGCCTCTGGCGGCGGCAGCTTCTCGACCACAACCGTAAGCACACCATCCTGATAAAACGCCGAAATCGCATCCTTATTCGCGTCCTCCGGCAAGACAAACTTCTTCATCAACTTGCCATGCCTCCTCTCCATGCTAATAAAGCTATTGAATATATGATGTCAAGTATTGAGTCTTAATTTAAAAAAAACGAATGACAATGAAGATCAAATCGCATCAACCAAAGAAAATTAAAAAACTGATTCATGAAAAATATCCACAAATCAATCAAGGGAAGATAGTAACCAATTTAATTCAATCTCTATTTTCACACGTTACAACTGCAACGCGTATATACATTTCTCATTTGGGTTTGTTGTAATAAGAACAGTTATCAATAAAAAAACTTGACATTCTTCAGAATATACCTAGCTCCATCTTTGTGCTCTTTCTCTCTCCTCCGCTCCCCGCTAACTACGAGTGTGTTGTCCTCAACCTGCACCTTGATTTGATCCCCCTTGACGCCGGGCATGTCGACGATGAAGTGGTACGCGTTTGTGTATTCGACAACGTCTGCGGGAGTGTTTCTCATGGCCTTATTGTCGCGAACGTAGGCGCGGGACGGCTGGTAGGGCCTCTGATCCCTTTCAAATCCTGTGTCGTCGGTGGCGAAGTCTAGCATGTCGTGAATAGCTGCTATCATTGAAGCATCAAACCCCACATCCCTTAAAGCTAAATCCATTCTCTGCCTAAATGAGTTAATTCGTTTAACGATCTTGGTGGTCTCCAAGGTGATACTGTCCTAGCTAGAGTTGAAAGATAAACCTTTAAATATAGTGTGCCAGAGAGCTAGTGACTGGATGCGAGCGGTGTGGTGTGGACATATTCGGTTAATCTCTCTGTGTTGTATGCTTGAAACGTGGTGCAACAGAGAGAAAAGTAGTGCCACGCAGTTCGCTGTTTTGATGGCCATGCTCCACGTCAGTTATATTATCTACAGGCTAGCATAGGCTATGTGAGACACTTATGAACAGAATAATTAATAGAGTAATAATATTGGAATTTAAAAATTTAATTACTAACAATGTTGTTGTGGTTTCATTTTAACGTTTATATTCACACCAAGTTCTTAGCATTGCTCTATGTAAAAATCAAAGTATTTGTAGAAATCAAAGTGTATGCAAAAAAGTTTGAATAATGGTATTGGGACATAATTTATTGATTTAATTTGTGAATCTAATTCATTATTGTTATTGCATTGATTATGAGTTCCATCAAATATTAAAATTTGGTGTTAATTTAATGATTATCATAAAACTAAATTATTAAATCAACTAATTAGGTCTAAATAATATTCCTAATTTTTTTTATTAATAGTAATCGAGTTGGGCTTAATTTATTGGTCTGTGAGGGAAGGAAGTTGGTTTTAATCGAAATTGAATTGATAGAGGTCATAAATGAATATATCTAACCATATGGGAGAAATAGTATTTTAGTTCTTTGGATTATGAGAATTTTTTTTCTATGCTGAATTATTTTGAATCATGAGAAATTATCTTAAAGACATAACTCGATATTTTTTGACATATTTTAAATTAAATTGTATATCTTATCTTTTGATTAATAATTTTTTTATGAATCAAAAAAATTATCGCTCTTTCTGATAAAAAAAAAAAAGAGGAATAGTGGTGAGGGAATAATAGTTGTTAATATTGGAGAACTATGTTTAAAATTTTAGATGAGTAATGCTACATAATTCAAATAAACTAAAAAAATTACAACTCAAATGTATATCATTTATTAGGTAGCAATTCAATCAATTTTTTCAGCTGAACCTACTCATTCAATACTCATCATTCATTGGGGTTGCAATTTTTGGATTCCATTTGAGTCGTTTAGCATTTTTTATTTTACAATCTTAATATACCTAAATAGATTTAGTCAAGATCCGGTAGCAATCATAAAGATCTGATAGTATTTGATTTGTCACGAGGTACACATTTTATTTTCTTTGTAATTATTTGGAAGGCGTGGTTTTCAATATGCCAGCATATAGGCCCCCTCACTAGCCCAACTAGTTAGTGGGCAATTCTTTTGGTTGGGAAGGAGGCTGGGCGGCGCTATGGACGGACATCTCCAGCAATGCAAATCAGCATTGTTCCCAACAACTTGATAAGCAAAAGATTCGAGAGTTCAGACTGAAAATACATGCATAGATAGATAGTGGTTTGATGACATGGCTAACGATGGAAAGCTCGAGACGGAGCTATATAATACAAAAGTCCCACGTACAGTTCCTGAGAAGGGAGTGACTACCTACGGGAGCTTCGACCAACCACCATTAGTCAATTCCTCTTTGGGGCCACCTTTACCTCTGTAATTACTATAGGGGTATGGGGTTAAAGACAAAAAAGATCAAGGCAGCATATACGTTTTTCTTTTATACTTGGATCTATTTTTATGCTATTAACTGTTCTGTTGATTCTTCTTCAAACAGAAATCACTAATTTACAAATATCCTTAACCACAAAATTTAGTGAGTGGATTGCTTCTTTCTCTGTCAAAGTGCCTATGGTACTAGTTCATACTTGGTCACCCGAAGGTCATGTAGAGGCAACTGCGACAAGATTCGTCATCTTGGCAAGAATTCCTTTAAAAATGGGAACCTACGGGTTTTTAAGATTTTATATACTCATGTTTCCTGAAATGACACTTTGTTCCACTTATTTCATTTCATTTCATTTATGAAGATATGTGTCATGACACATTGATATGTGGACATTTTTAAGGTCAAATAGTGCCACAACTTTAGAATTGATCACACAAGTGCAGGTTGTGCGAAGTAATAAATACTTAGGAGTCCGAGGTCGAACCACATTGAATTGGACAATAACTCAGAACGCAAAAAAAATTAAAATAAAATTGATTTTAAAATTTTTGAGAGAATTGGTTGTTCAAGAGAACAAAAATTATTGGGTGTAAATCAATCATTTGAAATACTAAACATCAAGATCCCCTTCCAACTTCAAACAATAATTATTTATAATCCAATTTTCGAACTCAGTTAAGAATCAATATAGAAGTAATCTTAATTGAAATATTTAGCAGTAATAATACTGAAAACAAAAACAACATTATAAGGAATAAATTATTTGAACAAAAATTAATATTTAATTATAGATCACAAACATTCACCGTACTCGTAGTCGATGATGAATCAAGGTCTCTAACAAAGAAAACCTCATTTTATCACAAATAAGAAGTCAATTATTTTATGAAAATTCTAAATAATTAATCCAAACATGCAGAACAAATTATTTGACTTACAGGGAATCTTAAGCATTCGATGTACATGACACAACGAATCAAGAGATTTTATAGGGCAAAAACTTTACTAAAAGACATTAAATAATTAATAAGAGAAGTCATGCATTAAAGAAACGTTGGATCAAAAATAAATAATGTGCTTTATTGAACAAATCACTCAAAACTTAGCAATTCATGAAAAGAATACAACAAAAACTAGAAACTGAAGGTAGAATGATCTCAATTAGGGTTTACAAGAGCTTTTATAGGGATTAAGAAACTAAGAAAACTAAATAGCATCAAAGACTTGTTCTTGGCCAATCTGTCTATTGCATCTGAACAGGTGTTTTGAGCTATCCAAATGCACAACTTTACATTGGCCTTTTTGCTTGTTGTGTCTGGATTTGCATTTCCCATTGTCTGAATGCAGGTAAGTTTTTAAACAAATTGGCAATGCGACTTTGACATAGTTAGAGGCCGATTCACAAAATTTTCGTGAATTATACTTTTTAAGTCCTTGAAGTCTACTCTCTAATGCCCCAAAGATCAAGTCAATTGAACATCGGAGTAAACAGTTATGACTAAAACACCGAAGTAATATAAAAATCTTTCCTTCCTGAATTTTAACTAATGCGTGTTTATACTCCGGAATGCCTCTCAACTTCTTTTATTCATCAAATCATCCCCTATTCTAACTGAATTATTTGTCCATTGTTTGCTTAACTTGGATCAATTCATTATCATCATAAATCATCTGAGTTATCTACAAAATGAGACAAATAATTAGAACAACTATCAAGCTAAAAAATTCAGGAATTTAGCATATATAATCTTAAAGAATATGTACTTGATCCACCTTAAATATATTAAAATATCACTTTTGATGGTTAATCATACCCCAACCTAGCTCTTGCTAGTCCCTAGTAAAAGAAAAGAAAGGAAAAGAAAATAAACTAAAACATACATCCACTTTCGTAATAAGACTCATGATTGCATTTAGAATATTCAATAAGCATTTAAATCCTTAAGTTACCTCCTAGTGGATTAGTATGGTCTCACAAGGGTTTTTAGAGATGATATCCATAAACATCACACTATTTGTTAAATATTTTCATCACATTATCATATCATGAATTTATAACACAATTCAAAATTTCTCAATTGCAAGTATTTACAAAAACCTGCAAAGTAACACATGGAACTAAATACTATACCAAAGTATACTTCCATCATGTCCTCATAAAAACTCGTTTGTTGCGTGCATTGCCCGTACTAAAACAAAATATATCATTTAACTGCTTCTATAACTGTCAACTATTCGTCTCAATGTCAAATCTCACTAGATAATACTCTCATTAAAATCTTCTTAGATTTTAGTGATTATTCCCTCAAATTTATACATGTGAGAAGAATGTGTTTCAATTAAAATAAAATGATGCACACATGTTTCTATTAAAACAATCACTGTACAAAAGAAAAGGATTTGACACAGTTTCATTAAAAGAAATCAAAACATAATAAGCAAACAATCACTATTCCCTTGTTTATTCACACAAGTCATGCATCAACCAATATACTCATGAGATTAGATAGGATTTTTTTGTAACTCCCCTTCCCACACTCTTATCTTTATATAACAAGAAATCATTTCTTTTTCAAAACACTAATATTTTAAAACCCAGGTAAATGTGTGAAATCGTTTGTAGTAGGACTTGTACCAATTATGTTTGATGTACAAATGTATGTTGTATAAGTTTGGGTTGGGGTTGGAAAGGTTTGAAATGGATTGAAGATGAAAAATAGGTGAAACAGACATTTCTAGGTAAAACCTACCAGTAGAACATCAACCTACTGGTAGATCTTGTATGGATTGGTGTTGTCACAGACAAAACCTACCGGAAATGTATAAATCTTTAATTTGTACCTTGTATATATCTAATGATGATGTGTTGGGAGAAATTTTTCATTACTTATTCATATGGTTTGTAAAATGTTGGTATTTAAAACTTTGTAAATGCTTGAGAAAAGGATTATCTTGTTGAGCATGTGGTTGCTCACACCTATCATTTAACATTTTTAGTCATGGGCATATGTTGGTGGACTACATAGTGGGAGTATCGAGGCAGAAGATAGTTGTTGTGATTTTTATATATTTAGTTGGAGAATGTAAAGAACAATGTACGATAATGCATATTATTGAAGATTTGTAAGTGATTTATATCTTGGTTAATTTGAGGGAATATGTATAGATTGTGACCTTTTAAATGGTTTACTTATAAAGATTTTAGATATTATGTATATTATGTGATGCCTCAAAAGCCAGAGGTTATTTTTCAACCCATTGATCATCCATCAATTTGCAGAAGTACCCTTGAATGCCACATAATCCGACTCCATGACACAACATCCTCTTCACCGGGATCATAAACAATAAAG